CCTAGATGCTGGATCACCTCTGAGTAAAGCCACGGCCTGGGACCTCTCTGACCCTGGGGTGTTAGTCATAGCCTAGGGAGGATGACATTGCACTCCCTTCTACTGATCCACAGTAGACCCTAGCATACTGCATGGTAAAGGGAAGTTCATTTCAGGGCTCCTAAAAATGAGGTAGGGGGTAGACTCCACAAAGTAGGGCTGAGGTGGGGGGACTGCCATGCATAGAGAAGTAGCTAGGAGGGAGGTGCTAGGGTCTTGGCAGAAGCAGGGTGCCCATAAGGCAGTAGAGATAAAGCCCAGGCTGCAGATTAGCTGTGGGATTTGCTGCTTGGTCCATGCTGCTCCTAGCTGTTTCTTATCTCCTAGAGGCCCAGGGCCTTCTTCCCCCACATTGCTGAGCCCTGGCCCTGCTAATTGCCTATTAACCCTGTGGGCTGTGTGGCTTCAGGGAGGAAAAGAAACCAGCGAGGGCTTAGGGGAAAGCCAGCAGCCAGGCAGGGACAGCTAAATGGGAGCTGTGGATGGATGGAGCTCAGAGGGCTGAGAGAAACCATCGTTCAGGGAAGCAAACTCTGGACAGATCTCTCCCAGCTCCTGATCACTGTCTCAAGCAGACTGGAGGGGAGCAGAAGGGGGAGGGCACCTGGGTGACCTCAGGCCCATGATAAAGTTTGGGAGGAAAACAAAAGACAAATACTGGATACCCCATGTGCAAGAATGAACAGAGAGGAAAGCAAGTAGGAGAGAGGTGCAGATGGCAAGGGACAGAGAGGACAGGAAGCATCTAGGCAGTGGGAGAGGAAGATGTGCTGCGGTGATGGACAGGCTGATCAAGGGCCAGGGGGCAGAGAAACAGTTCAGAGGGACAATCGATTGGGTGCCAGGAACAGATAGACGGGGGACTATCTGAATTAGAGAAGCACTGGAAAAGCAGACTGAGACCAGAAAACAGCTCTCAACCATGGGCTCTGGCCAGCACTAAGGGGAGAGGTAGTCAGAGAGGGACCAGCAGAAGGCTGGCTAAAGGAAGGTAGTGGAGGGATCCAAAGGGTGTCCTGCCTACAGGCTATGCCTCTTCAGCCCAGAGGAGGCTCTGGGAGGGCCACACACTCCATTAGGGCTGAGAGAGTGGGTCTGGGAGCCAAGGCAGAGAGGAGGTAGTAGGGTTTTGACATGGGGCCAAGACCCTATGGGCAGGGCTTAGAGGCTGAGGTTATCTGGAGATGGCTCCTTCACTCTTAGGACACTAATTGGCCCAGGACCTACTCTCTCCGTGATTGTGCCCTAGGCTCTCAACTACTGCACATACACCCTCCTTCCAGGCCAGTCTGTGGGGAGGGAGCAATGGACAACTAGTGGGACCTTGTGGCTGAGCAGCCGTGCCGTCTCCATGGAGGAAGCTGCCGACTGTGCTGCCACCAGAATTCTGCCACTTAGGAGCTGGTGGCTAGCTCTACCACCACTGCCTGGGCCAGGGACTGTCTCCGGGGCAACGCTGTGCTCTGCCCAGCAGTGGGGCCTGACCTGGGCTGTGCAGGTGGCTCAGTCCTGCCAGTCTGGCTTGTCCATTTCCTGCAGTGCCCCTTGGATCCAAGCTACTTCCACCCACCTTCTGTGTCACTTACTGTCCCCCCTCTTCACAGCTACTTCATGGATATATGTGCTAGGTAATCACACTCCTCCCAAACCAGGGATGGGCTCCATCTTGCAGGTGGCTGGATTTAGGGTCCTGTAGTGTGTGTCTGTGTGCATCTGTTGAACAGAAGCATATACCTTCAGTGGTGGCCCCACATAGGGCCGGTACGACAGTCTTTTATTCACTGAACCCATTGTGTTTTATAAGCATTGACTGTTTTCACATGGGCTCTGTTCCATTTTGGATCTCCACAGTCCTTTACTTGCTGTGTATTCTTAGCCAAGCTACTTCTCTGAGCTTCAGCTACTCCATCATTATGGGGTGGGGGTGGGGGGCAAAACAATAATTACATCATGTAGCTTTCTTGCAGGCTCCAAGGAGAAAGTATATCAAAAGCATTTATCAAAAGACCTGGGACAAAGAGTGTTTGATCATGTTTGCTTTTCTTCTGTCCTTCACCCCTCTGCTAATCTTACTGGACCTTAGGGATGCCAAGAGGGAACAGGACTCTAGGCCTCAGGGAGTTGGGGACCTGTAAGTGGGGCTGAGCTTTGGAGAGACCATGGTATTCTGGCAGTCAGGGAGCTGCACAGATGGTATGAATACAGAGGGACACGAGTGAGCTGCTCATACATAGGGTTCTCCCATGGATCCTGAGCTTCGTTTAGCCTCTGAACTCAAGCATGTACTCAAAACTGGCTGTGTTGGCAGGAGCTGATTCCTGCATCTTCTTGGCTTGAAATGGGAAGATGTTGGATACTTCTCTGTTCCCTCATCTGACTTTCCCACACCACTGGGAAGTCAGGAGTTTTGTACCCAGTGCACTTCAGGGTCTCCTCCCTCCACAAACATGTCCCAAGAGTCCAGGGCCAAGCTCTCTTGCTGGGTTCTTGTATCTTCCTCTAATGCCTAGGCCCTCTCTAGGCAAGCACTCTACCACTGAGCTACATCCCTGGCTCTCTTTACTTTTTATTTTGAGACAAAATATCACGAAGTCACCTAGACTAGCTGTGAACTCACTCTGTAACCCAGCAGGATCTTAAAATTGCCATCCTCCTGCCTTGGTCTCCAGAGAAGCTAGAATTACAGTCCTGTGCCACCATGTCCTGTTCATCTAGCACCTTTCTACATTCTATGTGGTCCATGGATCAGTAGATTTGTAGAAATGCAGACTCTCAGCCCTGTTTGGGTTCATCCACCTCCATTTATTAAACCAGAACTGGCACTTTACAAAGGTGATCTATGTACACACTGGCAATTGAGCACTGGAAATTGGAGATTTGGAGACCTAAGCAAACAGGTCTAGTTCTCTGAGCGTCTGTTTCCTCATCTGCAGAATGAGAAGAAAATACGGACCTCAGGGTAGTTACGAGGATTCACTTAGAGCTTGTAGTTTAACATGCCTGAGGGTACTCTGAATCCTCTGAGCTGTCTGTGACACCCTCTTCTGCCCCACAGGAACATGCTGCAGGAAGGGTAAGGTGTGGGCAGAGTGCTGCAGATGGGACCCAAGGACTAGAACCCAGTCATTGGGAAGGGACAGGTGAGGAAAGGAAGGCAGCAGCTATAAAGAGGAAGGAGTGGAGGAACAGAGCTGAAGGAAAAGAGAAGCAAAGGAAAGGACTGGCCGGGCCAGCAGCATGGGACACACGCTGTCTCTTCCAATCCTGAGGTGGGAGCTGGCTCTTGATGTGAGTAGGTTTGGGGTAGGGTGATGCTAAGAATGAGTTAAGGGAAAAACTGGAGCTTTGCATTCTGATGAGTTCCTTCTGCTCACTAGCTGTGTGATGTGACCTTGTACAAGTCATACCACCTCTCTGAGCTGCAGTTTCTTCATCTGTTATTGAGATAATTAAACCCATCAGAGCCCCTGAGTGGATGAAATGGGCCAGTAGGAGATGTTGCCATGTTTTAGTACTTGCTATGCAATTTATTTAAATTTTAGAAATCAGGTCGAGTGAAGGAAGTACTGTGGAGTAGGTAGAATCAGGGTTGCTGAAGCTGTAGTGGCTGACTCAGCAGAAGGGGGGAGGTCTGAACCGTGCCCCCCCCATGTTTCTGGAGGTCCCCTCAGCTGCTTCAGAACTCTGCACTTCCCCAGCTCTCAGTCCAGCCTCGCCCTTCTGCACTCTCCCTCTGCAGCCAAGTCTAGGGAGCTACCCCCCACCCCAATGCCACTTCATGCTTTGACAGTGTGAACATGTTCCGAGGAGAGGGGCGGGGTAGTGATGGATCGCGCTGCCCCCCTGCCCCCAGGGAAGGTGCTGCCTGTGATGGGTTTGACCCAGGGGCGCGTCTCTGTGGGGTGGGCCTGGTAGGAAGGAACTAGAATCCGTCTCTTTCTCAGCAGCTCTCCCACCCCAGCTGCTGCAGGACTTGAGGCAGCAGCCAAATCTCCAGTCTGAGCCTGCGCCTCCATCCCCGGGGCGCCAGCGCCACCTGGTGTTCATTGGTGAGAACTCTCGAAGAGGAGACGGGAGATGGGCTTTGGCCTGTTATCACTTATGAAAGTGTCTTTTGTACCTCAAACCTGGGCAAGCGCATGGGATATCAAGGCAGGCTCAATGCTCTTGTACAGCCTGCTCTCTGTTGGGGGAGATGAACAGTGGACAGTGAGACGCGCAGTGATCAAAGTCTCAGGTCTTGATATGTACTGAACAAATACCCTGTGAACACAGGATGTCAAGTACCAGATGTTTGGGTTCGTCACAGATTTGGGGTGTTAGGGCAGTAGATATTTGGGGTGTCAGGGCATACTGAATGGAGACTTTCAGGCTAGGGAAGGAGTCTGACTTCATCCTCTGGAAAATGGGAAGCCATTATTGTTTAATTTGGTTTTAAAATAAGTTTTATTGGGCCCAGATGGTAGAGTGCTTGCTGCACAAGTATGAGGATCTGAGTCTGATCCCCAGAACCATGTAAAAGGCCAGGCAGGGGTACATGTGCCTGTAATCCCAGCACTGGGCAGGCAGAGACAAGAGGATCCTTAGAACTCTCTGATCAGCCAGTCTGGCCAAATTGATGAGCTCCATGTTCAGTGAAAGATCTGTCTCCAATAATAAGGTGGAGATGACTGAGGAGGACACTTGACACCAACTTATGGCCTCCACCTGCATGTGCACACACACACACACAGATGTGTACACATAAATAATAAGTTTTATTGTGTACGTTTGAGGTTTTACAACATGATGTGGGTGAACTACAGATTGTAGAATCTGGCACGGAACTTGATTGGGTTTGAGTGTTTTGGCTGTTGTGCAGAGAACAGAGGACAGGGATGGATGAAGGGAGACTTGAGCTACACAGAGAGAACCTGGCAATAAAAAGAGTTCTGCTATTGATATGTTCTGTCCCACTTCAGGTCTATACTCGCTATGGGAAGTGTTACACCTTCAACGCGGATCCACAAAGCTCACTGCCCAGCCGGGCAGGTGGCATGGGCAGTGGCTTGGAGATCATGCTAGACATCCAGCAGGAGGAGTACCTACCCATATGGAGGGAGACAAGTATACAGGCGGGAAAGGGATAAGGGTCAACCTGGGGACCGGGGCCTGGGGCAGGTTCCGAAGCTCCACATCTCTGCTGTGCAGATGAGACGTCATTTGAGGCAGGCATTCGGGTACAGATCCACAGCCAGGAGGAGCCTCCCTACATCCACCAGTTGGGATTTGGTGTGTCCCCAGGCTTCCAGACATTTGTGTCCTGCCAAGAACAGCGGGTGAGTATCCCCAGCTGGGTCTTAACTGGGAACAGGCAAGCCTCTGCTCAGAGGGATGCTGACCAGATCTGTCCTCAGAAACTCACAATCTACCAGCCCCATAGCCCTTGTTTGGGCCATGGACACTGGAGGACTGGGCTGCATTCTTGGCCTTGACCCCCTCATATCCCATTTCTTCAGCTAACCTATCTGCCCCAGCCTTGGGGCAACTGCCGGGTGGAGAGCGAGCTCGGGGAGCCTGAGCTTCAGGGCTATTCGGCCTATAGTGTGTCTGCCTGCCGACTACGCTGTGAAAAGGAAGCTGTGCTTCAGCGCTGTCACTGCCGGATGGTGCACATGCCAGGTGGGCACCTCCAGCCAGTCCCTGCTGCCACCTTTCTGAGTTTTTGAATCTCCAGGGGCAGGAGCATGTATACAACATGAGAGTGTGCTCACATATGTCTGGGCATTCATACAAGTTCTCATATATTTGGAAATGCATGTATGTACATGCTTGTGTGCATGTTCATATGTATTTGTATGTGTATATTTGGGGTTGTGTGCATGAGCTTGAGTGTGTATGTACATAGTTAAGCAAGTACACATGTTTTTGTGCATATGTGTTTATATATTATCATGCTTATAGTGCACAGGTATGTATACATTCATCTGTTATGCATATGTGCAAGCATGCACATTTGTATGTGGATGCCCACATGGGTGTGTGGTAAGGGAGAAAGGAAAGGACTGTAGATCTCAAAATACTCTTCTCTTCTTTTAGGCAATGAGACCATCTGTCCGCCAAATATCTACATTGAGTGTGCTGACCATACACTGGGTCCGTGCTGCCTTCCCCCACCTCTCATCACCCTCTTCACTCCTCTGTGTACCCTTCTCCTCTCTGTCACTTCTCCCAGTCTTTCCCTGGAGGGGTCTTGCTGAGGTTGAGCTTGGTTTCACACGTCAGGGGGTCTGAGGGCTTCTGCAGGTTCAGGTACTTGGTTAATGGTCACAGACTATGGGGGTATTTCAGAGAACCCAAGGCTAGGACTTGGGCTGGGCTTCCCGTCTCAGTTCTGCCAATGAGTGCTCTCTCTCTCTCTCTCTCTCTCTCTCTCTCTCTCTCTCTCTCTCCCCACACACACACACGCTATAGCTGCTAGCCTTTCTGCTTGCTGAGAAAATGAAATAATTTCTCTCTAGGCCCCAAGAAAAATGCATTGCCAGGTATCAATGTGGGTCAAGCAAACCCTATCTGTCCACAGGCCTTACCTAATCTACACCCATCTATCCATCCATCCATCCACTCACCCACTCACCTAACTGATGATTGATTCATTCATTCTCCAGACCTGTGCAGCCTGTTCTGGGTGTTGGGGATGAGTGTGAGGGCAAAAGCCCTGCCCTTGCCCAGCTGAGGACAGATGTTAACACAGTGTGGCGTTTTTGGATAGGGGTATCTCAAGAGTGTTACAAAGCCCTGGGGAGGGGCATGCAGTCCCAATCAGGAGAGGCTGGGAGGATTCCTAGGAGAAGCTACATATTGGCAGAGGCTTGAAGGGTGCATGAGTCAACCAAGTGCAAAAAGAAGTATGTTCTAGGTGTTCTGGGCTGTGGGGATAACATGTTCTAAAGACCTTGTGAAAGCATGTTTTGTCTAGGGTACTTAAAAGTCAGCATAGTTGCAGGCAGAAGATGATGAAGGAAGCAGAGAGTCAAAAAAGGAGGCTCTGGGAAGCCAATGAAGGCTTAAAGCAAGGCAGAAAGGTGAATGGATGAGATATAAAGTGGATAGCTTAAAGCAGGGCACTGGTCAGGTGCTCCCTGCAAAAATCCAGATGTGATGGGGTCCTGGAGATGGATTTGAGATGCTGGGGTAGCAGATCGACATACCCAGATCTCCTCTGTCCCTCCTACCACCTGCACCTGTCAAGTGGGTAACAGAAGAACATTCATCAAAGGAACAGATGTATCAGCAGGAATAAGAGAGCCACAGATATGGCAAGAGCCCACAAACTAAGTGACACTGGGGAGCACCTGAAAGGATGAAAGTAAGGAGTGTTATGGAGCCCAGAGACCTGGTGCTGCCCGAGAGAGCCAATTGACAGCTGTGTGGCACAAGAGCAAGAACACAGCCTCTGTCTCTCCACAGCTTGGTGATCCAGGAAGTTGGGAAAGTACATGGGTATCTCTGCCCTTCCAGTCTCTCTTTGACCTGCCTAACCCCAGGCCAGAGGGCAAAGGAGTCGAGGTGATGTATTTGGCAGGGATCAGCCTCTTGGGGCATAGAACAAGGCAGAAGAGCGTGGAAAGGGAGCCTGAAGGGGCAAAGCAGAGAAATTCCAGCACATCACAAGGACATGAATCCTGGCCACCAGTTTGAGTTTGTTCTATCCATCCATCCATCCATCCATCCATCCATCCATCCATCCATCCATCCATCCATCCAAGCACCCTTTCCATGCTTCCCCATGCATCTGTGGGCCTCTTGTAGCTAACAGAGACAGATGTGATCTCCTTCTGGGGCATGAGATCTCCATGTTCCAGGGAGCTGGGGACAGAAAAAAAGAGATGCCTGCAGAGGTGCTGTACTCACAGGCAGTTTAAAATTGGTCTGAGGGGGACTCCAGTCAGTATGTTCTAGGAGTTAACAGGTCTGACCCTCTGCATGAACATGCCAGCTCAGAAGAGTCCCTGTACTTGCCTCCACAGCTAGTGGGCCTGCGGGCCACCCTCCCCCCTGCAGTTAATGCCTCTGTGTTGCAGACTCTCTGGGTGCGGGCTCTGAAGGCCCATGCTTCTGCCCTACACCTTGCAACTTAACTCGTTATGGGAAAGAGATCTCCATGGTCAAGATCCCCAACAGGGGCTCAGCTCGGTACCTGGCAAGGAAGTACAACCGAAATGAGACCTATATACGGTACGATGTGCCCACAGATGGGCTTTGTGGGGAGGTCCCTTCAGTGGACCTGGGGCATGGTAGGGATTGGGAATGGGCTGTGATGGGTCTTCTGCCAGGAATGCCATTAGAATCCTCCTAATTATTGGCCTTCAAGCCCCAACCTAGGTCCATCACCATGTGGACTCCCATAGCTCCCTGTACATATTCTGCCACTGCACAGATCCCATTGTTTTAGAGCCCTTTATATGATTTTCTCCTCTAGCAACCTGGGAACCAGGTGGTGGATGCTAAGTGAATCTGTGTGCTGAGGGAGACGGGGAGGGAGAAGGAAAGAGTGTGGGTGGGAAAGGAACAAGGAGGGCTGCACTGAGCCTTGGGTATGGTGCTCTGCTTAATCAAATACTGAGCATGACTTGTGTGCCTGGCCCAGTGCTGGATTCTGTGGATAGATGGTTATAACACAAAATCTGTGCCACTTTGTGAACAAACTAAATTATATGATGAAGTACTGATTCTTGAGTCCTATGGGGGAGAGGAAGCAGGGAAGGTATGAATTGGCCTTTGAAGATCCTGAGTTTGGGTCTATAAAAGGAAGAGTGAAGGGAAGCATCCCAATTAGAGAACTGTGAGGTGGTACCAAGATAAGCCAGTGTAGCAGGGGGCTGTGCGATGGGACGCTGAGTGGAAAACAGTTTGGACAAAAAGATACAGTGCAAATGATTCTAGGCAAACTTGAAAGCTGAGGAGAGGAATTTCAGGATTTTAGAGTGGGCAACAGGGAGCCATTGAAAGTTCTAGAGCCATTGAAAGTTCTAGAGAGACATAAGGTTGAGTTGAGGCAAAATGAATGTTTTTTTAAGCATTCAGGAAGCACTACTACAGAACTCAATTTTGTTAGTTTTTCTCTTAAGTCATTTACTAGCCTTCAGGAAGTAGGAGGCTCACCAGGCTTAGTGGTACATATTTGTAATGCTATCATTAAAGAGGTGGAGGCAGGAGGATCAGAAGTTGAAGGTCATCCTCAACTACAAAGAGTTCCAGGCCAGCCTAGGCCTTATGGGATAAAACAACTAAACAAAACCCAGGAAGGTAACATACGGTTGGACCTATCTCCCTTTGGGAGTCTCGGTCACTTAGCTCCCCAACACACATGGGTTTCAGAACAGGATGAACTGAAGATGTCCTTGCCAGCCACTTCCTCAGGAGCCGTGGCCCCACACAGATGCCATTTTATGTCTCCCAGGGAGAACTTCCTGGTCCTGGATGTCTTTTTTGAGGCCCTAACTTCTGAAGCCATGGAGCAGCGAGCAGCCTATGGCCTGTCAGCCCTGCTGGGTGAGCCTTAGCCCTTGTTCCCACTCGTGTTGATCATCCTAGTCTGTTCCCCACTGACCCTGCCCTCCTGCTCCCCAGGAGACCTTGGGGGACAGATGGGCCTATTTATTGGGGCTAGCATCCTCACCTTGCTGGAGATCCTTGACTACATTTATGAGGTAAGAGATGAGGAGAGTGTGGGAAAGGTAGAGTGGGTGGTGCAGGGCAGGCTCCTGGGTGGTAAGTAGGCTCAGGGTTCTGTGCCAGTTCCTCTGACTGGTTGGAAGAAAAAGGGCCCTGGAGGTCTGAAGAGGTTGGCTTGGGATATGGGAAGCCCTATTCTGAGGGACTGCCAGGCAGTGAGTCCTATAACTGCTACTCGCTGCCCTGACCTGCAAGGTGTCCTGGGACAGACTCAAGAAGGTATGGCGGCGGCCAAAAACCCCACTGAGGGCGTCCACTGGGGGCATCTCTACTTTGGGGCTGCAGGAGCTGAAGGAACAGGTGAGGACAAGCACCCTGCCCTCCAACCTGGAAAGCATGGCCAGCATCCTCTCCCCAGGGCTACACTCCCTAAAAGCTCCCAAGACACTCAGGGGGTTAAGGAAAAGCTGTTGCTAAGACTTGGGGACACAACTTGACCCCTGGTCTGTCCCTTCTTCATTTTACAGAGTCCTTGTCCAAGCAGGGGCCATGCTGAGGGTGGGGGAGCCAGCAGTCTCCTCCCCAACCACCACCACCCCCATGGCCCCTCAGGAGGCCTCTTTGAAGACTTTGCTTGCTAGGATGGTGCTGTGTGGGAAAGGACCAATGAGTCTGGGACTCTGCTCAGACCCCACACATTTTGCTCCTGGGACCGAAGACCTGGGGCAGCCCAGGGCTAAGGGAAGGGGTGGTGCTCACCAAGAGGCCAGGACTGGGATCCTGCTCTCCCCAACCCAGGCTCAGCTGCCTTGCACAACGGTCCTTCTTGTCCACACTCCCCATCCCCAGGCAGGTGTCCAGGAAGGGCTGGAGACCAGACTAGAGGCTCCTCAGGAAGGGAGGGAGGAAGAGGGGGAGATGGAGCCCTGGCTGGGCGGGTCCTGTACATTTGTATATATTTAGGGACTGGGTGGGGGTGGGACAGACATAGAAGGGTGGGGTTACAGGGAAGGGTGATTTAGGATAGTTAGGGTCCCAGCCCTAATGGCAGAAGGCAACTCCTTGGGACTTGGGCATGCTGGGTTAGTTCTACTTCCCTCTCCAGGCCCAGCTCCCCTCTTGGCAGGGGGAGTGGGTGGCCCAGCAGGCCTGGCCCAGCTCCCAGTTCCCCCTGTACTAGCCCCACCTCAAGTCCCCCCTCCATGGGGAGTGGGCAGAAGACCTTTCAGACCTTGGCTAAGATTGGGGGGAGGGGGAACAGGGAGCCTCTCAGGCCTCTCTCCCTCCAGACTGGTTTTATAAAGTGCTGATGAAATTGGGAATAAAGAGGCATAAAGAATTCTCTGTGTATGTGTGTGTGAGACCCAGCATGCGCTGGCTGGGGGCTGGGCATCTGCATGACTTGGTCCCTGTAAAAGGAAACACAGGCCCCAGCAGGGACAAGACGCTTCCATCTTCAGAGTCAGCTTTCCCTACTGCCATGCCTACTTTGCCAAAACTCCCAATTATCAATCTACACTTACCAGTCCACACTCAGCCAGTTTATTAAAGCCAGAGACTCATCAGGGGTCCAAACAGGAGAAGGTGGGAGATGCCACACCCCACCCCTCCTCTCTCTACTCCCCCCTTCTCCAAGAACTCCTCTACAGCCCAGCCCCAGGACAAGACCCCAGGAGGCATGGCTGGCGTCAGGCAGACTGTGCTGCATAAATATACTGAGGCCACAGCCTGGATCAGCAGTGTCAAAGGGGCAGGGAGACTCTTCTTGGAACAAGAAGGGGTTACTCTGGGGCACCTTTCCCAAGGCTTGTCCAGGGGTCTACAAAGCAGAAGACAAATAACCAGCAGGCTGCCCCTCAAGGCTACAGCCAGCCCTGTCCAGCGAGGCTGACAGGTGGCTCCAGGTTTTGGGGAAGAGTAGGACAGGGGCAGGGGACCAGGGTAGGGTCAGGTGCTGTTACCCTGCTCCTGCTCAAAAAGCAGCATAGCGAGCTGGGTGCGAGAGCCAAGGCCCTCCAGTACACTCTGGCGGCAGCGGTGGTATAGGTCCTCACTGAGCCGTGCACTACATGACTGGGCCCGGTAGCGCTGCAGCAGAGCTGGCTCTACTGCCCGCAGCACATGCAAGCTGGAGAAGCGCAGGAACAACTCATATACATCCAGGCTCTCCAGAAGCTCCTCCTCCTGCTCTGAGGCTGCCACCAGCTGCCCACGGGCCGCCACATAGTCGGAGTTGTAGAAGCAGGCCTCACTGGCTGCCTGGCGATCAAAGCGGCCAGTGTCACGGCCCAGCTCTGGTGGCCCAGGCCCCTGAGGTGGAGCCACCGCAGGATGGAAGGCTTGAAAGTGCATGGGAAAGAAGGCCTGCCAGCCAGAGATGGCATGCATGCGGCATCGGTTCAGGAAGTCAGGTGTGAGCACCGTGTCTGGCCCGGCCAGCAGGAACAGTGTGTCCAGTGGGTGCTTCTTGGAGAGTAGATCCATGAGGCGCAGAGGAGAGGGTGCAGCTGTCTGCACACTGAGCCAGGGCACCCGGGAGCCAGGGAACCGACGCTCTAGCTCTGCCACGTGGGCCTTGACAGGTGCGAAGACATCTGCATGGGCTGCCCGCTGTGCCTGGCGTGGCTCATACAACAGCAGCAGGGTCAGGGCTGCTGCATCACCAGGTTCCAGTGCTGCAGTGGCAAAGGCCTCCAGGAAGCCAGCAGCCAGGTCACGCTCGGCTGCAGCCAGAGGCAGTAGCACAGTGAGACGTGAGGCCTCTGTGACATAGGGCACAGGCAAGATCTCCACACGGCTCAGGGGTCGTAGGAGCTGTACCCGGTGGGTGAGAGGCCAGCGGCCACCCTGGGGCGTCAGTGCTTCCAGCTGTAAGTCCAAGGTGTACTCCATACCCCGGGCAGGATCAAAACGGCGGTAGCCATTCACCAGTTGCTGCTTCCGGAGTTGCAGGGCTGGTTGGTAGCGGCGGTTGAGCTCCTCCAAGGCTGTCCCCAGAACATCAGCCACATCAGCCTGGTCAGCCCCATGAAGTGGGCAACGAGGTGAGCCATCAGCACAGGAGAAAGCATACTGCTCTGTGAAGTAGTCCCAGCGCAGAACCTCAAAGCGTGAGGCAGGGCGGGATGGTGCTGGAATACCCACTGGCCAGGCAGCAGCCCGCTCCCCATCAGCAGCCAGTCGGCTGGTATTCTGGATCTCCCACTGGGCCAGAAAAATAGTCTTATGAGCAAAGTTGGGGACATAGAGCCAGCACACAGCTCAGGGGTTGTGTGGATAGTTAGTGATACTAGGGAGAACCTGGAGCCCACTGCCAACCTCTGCCCACCAAGGGCCCCAGAGGCTCTCTACAGAGGGAAGCAGTCTGAAGGTTAAAAGGGGAGTTTCCTGAAGACTCCGCAGAGCAGGTCAAACAGACAGGACCCAGGTAGCAGGTTTGTTCTGTGATTCCAACATTGATTTATTTGTCCCCTGAACTCTCTGTAGACCCTGCTCCACCTCCCCCTTCTCTCTCTCACCCTCAAGCCCATACAGTACCTGCAGCTCCTGGATTTCCTGGTATGTGCGTTCCAGCTCAGCTCGGGCAAAAGCTTTGTGCAGCTGGTACATGTGCACAGGGTCACGCACAGGGTGGGCTGTCAAGGCACTGCGAAAACGAGGGTCTCCCTCCTGCACAGGCTCCCCAGGGCTCAGCTCCAAATAGGTGTAGTGTACCCCCTGGGGAGAAGAGAGGGGTGCAGAATGGGAAAAATTACAGAATTGTCTGTGTCTCATAGTTAGTGTCTCATCTCCTAATCCTATGACTAGTTGTGGACTTGGGAGTCTGAGTCCTTTGAGTTTTAAGTCTATGTGACCAGTTAAGCTTGCACAGCCTTGGGCAAGTCTGCCAGCTCATTGTGAAACAAGCAAACACCCTGTCTCAGAGCTGCCCATGGAACTAAATAAAGTAACTGACACTGAATGCTTTTTATTTTTCCCTAATGCTTTTACATCTTTGCACAATAATTATTTCCATTCGCATGCATGAGGATACTGAAACAGACTGAGTAATTTACGTAAGACCACTGGGATTAGAATTAGCACAAAAACCCAGGCCTGTATCTCCACCACTCATATACTCTCCTAGGAAGTATGCAAGCTCAGAGAAGAGACACTAATGGGGAGGCTTATCTTCCTACCTCATGGTCACCAGTACAGCCCACGCCTGTGGCATCCAGAATGCACCGGCCCAGCCACTCATCAGGGCGTGCACTAACGATGTCATTACGGCAGCTTTCCAGGTGGGGGCGAAGCTGCTGTAGCAGAGTGCGTGACAACAACACTCCAAAGCCCCCGTGGCAGTAGCGGCCTGGGGTGGACTCTCCACCAATGAAGTCCTGAGGTCGGCCGAGATAGAGGTGGGTTGCTGAGGCAAGGCTAAGGTGGCCAGCTAAGTGTGCCAGTCCATGGGCCTCAGTGTAGGTTGTATCAGGCACTAGAAAGAACCAGTCAAAGTCATCACCGTGTTGCTCCAGCAGGTGGCGCAGCGCCAGGTGTAGGTGTCCGATAGGCCTCTCCTCGCCCAGTGTCACCACGGCCATGCCTGATGGTGTCCTGCGGCCACGGGCGCCTGTCAGGAACATCACCCGCTCTAGTCGGTGTCCCAGAGTGCGGTTCACGGCCACGCCTAGTGTAGGCAACGTGGCCTGTGAGGTCAAGACGGCTACCAGCAGCCTCTGCCTGATGCCCAACTCTGTGCTGATATATCGAGTTCTAGGAAAAGACAGCACAGTTATGAAAAAGACAACATACAGGCCCCGGGCGTCCTTTCTTCTCTGGGCCTGTTTTGCATCAGTGAACAGGATAGGAATACATTTCTCCCAGGACGCATGAAAATTTAAGTTAAATACTGGTTTTACATACAGAGTGCTTTGCATTTAGAAGACAGCAATACCCATGCATGTATGAGAGCTACACCCCAGATCTAATTCCTGAGTCACTACATTATAGTGTGTCCTTAAGTATATTATTTAATTTGAACCATCTGTCAAATGGAGCTCATATTTACTTAAAATAGTCAAATGCTTGGTACATCATGTATATACTTTCTGCTACATGAATACACTGTTATACTCCAAGTACATCGTATAAATGATGTATAGTAATGTATGGCATAGGAGTGTATTGATGTGTTTGGGGGAGGAGTAAACTAGGACAGTAACTCACCTTCCTCATATAGAAGGTAAGCTGGAATTTGAACTGTTACTTAGAAATTACTTCAATTAGTGGGCACCGACATCAACGGGATAAAAACATTCCTCCCTCTCCCATCTCATCCCAAGGAGGCCCTTGAAACCCATCTAGGAATGAGATATGGGCCTAGTTCTTGCCTTTTTCTTTCCCTCTCTTTATACACTCACCCTCCGTAATAGTAATTTTTCTAGCCCTAAGCAAAATTAGGAGCTAAGAGGGTCTTTGGGGGAACTAACTTCCGGTGAAGCCCGTTTAGACAGAGGTCAGGTTCAGTTCAGGTCGGGATGGGATCCCAAGAGCGCATCAAAGTGGCTCCCACCACTGCCTGGAAAGCAGGGCCATAGGAAGTTATCCAGGCCCAAAGACTTCCTGGCCGGCCGGTCCCTTCCTTCCGGAGCCTGACCCGGCCTCCCCGGAGCGCGGGTCCGGGCTGGTGCCCAGGGAGTGAGGTGGACCGAGCGGATCACTACCTGACGGCCTTCTTGGCGGCCTGACCCGGCTGTGCCGGGCGGTAGGGCAAGACGCGCGGCTCCCAGTTCTCTGCGGCGCCTGCGCCGGCCCCCGTCCTCTCGCGCTCGGCTCCGGGCTGCACCGAGTTGGGCCGGCGCGCCGCGTTGGTGTTGCCGCGCGGCGGCAGCTCAGAATCGCCAGGTTGGGGCGGCCCCGGGCCGCATGGCTCCTCCACCCAAGTGACGCTGAGCAGGCTCAGGGTGAAGCCTAGGGAGATGCCCACGGCCACGGGCCCTGCGGGCCGCAGCACCGACAGCAGCAGCGAAGCCCGCATGGCGTCCGGACAGCGGGCCCCCGACCCCCGCGCAGCCAGAGGAGGCTCCGAGGGGGCGGGACCGGGGAGGGGGCGGATCCGGAGGGCCCGGGCCCAGCGGGCGGGCCCGCTCCCTCTCCGCTGATCACAGCCAGCGGAGCGAGCCGAAACCCCCGCCCGAGCTCCGAGGTCCCTCCAGCTGCGCTCCGCGCCCCGGCCTCCCGGACGGCCGCCACTGTCCGACGTGTCACTGAGAGGGCCCCGCCCCCAAGGTGGGGTTTCTGCCGTCAGCTACCGGAGAGGGAGGAGAAACGGGAGGTTAAAGGGGAAGGACCCCCGGAAGTGCCCCCTCCTCAGCGCCAGAGAGCCAGATGCCGGGGGCGGAGTCCCCTGCCTCCCCCGGTGTGGTTGGTGCGTCCCGGGTGACGTCAGGAGCAGCCCGCCCCTGCCTGGATGGTGCGCCCTGAGTGACGTCAGGAGCAGAGGCCGGAGCTGTCCATCAGCACCAAAGGCCGCCGGCGGGCTCAGGGCATGGGGCCGCGGCTCTGGGGCAGCCCGAGCCCCTGCTCCTGCTCCTTCTCCTTCCCCGGGCCCGGCCCGAGTCCCCGGACGCCGCGGGACTGGAGTGCCAGCCGGTGTTGGAGGTGGAGTGGCGACGCCGTCGCACAGACACCGGTCTCTCCGGCCCAGCAGCCCCGTTCTCTGCACGGAGGACTTTCCCCGGACCCCAGTCAGTCCAAGCCTCTGGCGTCACGCAATCCCGGGTTCTCTGGCCCCTGCACAGCCTCTTTTGCTCGGGAGCTCAGGTCGCCTCCACCACAGGTAGATCTTGGATAATCCCAAATTTAGCCTCCCACAGTTGGGTCTCGGCTGCCTCTTTCTCGCTAGCTGCGCCCTCCCCTTATCTCCCTCCATCTAGTCCCCCTTTCAAGTTCATCCCAGCCCCCACTAACCAAGCACTTGTTTCCCTTTGTCTTTGCTCCCCATTCCAGGGATGCTTCGAGAGCTGCCCGGTGTGGGCACCATTCCTTTGTCCACTGTGCCCTTGTTGAGTTCTCCCACTCCCATTCTTATCCAGGTGGGGACCCGACTGACTTTTTCCTGACCCCAATTTCCTCTCTGTCAGGTGGGTGGAACAGGAGGGTGACCCTGTTCCATTCCCAGCACTATGCCAGGCACTATGGAAACTCTGCGGTTCCAGCTGCTGCCCCCTGAGCCAGATGATGCCTTCTGGGGTGCACCTTGTGAACAGCCCCTGGAGCGCAGGTACCAGGCACTTCCGGCCCTCGTCTGCATCATGTGCTGTTTGTTTGGAGTCGTCTACTGCTTCTTTGGTGAGATCCCCCTCGTTCCTCACCTGAGGTCCCCACTGCTTCCCTTTTCTGGCACCTCCCAAAGCTTCTCCTGCCGACCACCCATCCCCTACTCCCAGATATCTTCTCTCATTCATCCAATATATATTTGTTGATCATTGACTAGATTCTACAGAACACAGGCTTTAAATTAGGCTCCGAGTTTGAACCTGGCTCTGTTAGTCATTGTGAAGCAATGGGCATATTCGCCTGTTTGAATCTTAGCCTTTTCACCTGGACAAAAATGATGTTTGTCTCACATAGAGTTGTTACAAAACTTAGTAGGCACTCAATGAATAATAGCTATTGTAGTGAAGATATGTTTGGGTCACTGAGCTAAGCAGACATTAAAAAGACAGTGTGATTAAACATGGTCTCTGACAAACAGGGTATATTGTATGCTGGGGGAGAGACCTGGAATATCACACATGTGATACATATTAGAGTGGGCTGGATGGTAGTCACACACATGGAGATCACCTACAAGGCAGACTCCCATGATGATGGTTGCTGTGAAGAGTTGTACGAGGGAGGGCAGGGTATGCTTGTAATCTCAGCATTCAGGAAGCGGAAGCAGAAGAATGGAAGTTTTAGACCAGCCTTCACTATACGGGTGAAATTGAGAGGGGAGGGGTTGGGATACTGAGTATGAGAGTTCAGTTCAACAGGTGAGTGTTGATGAAACCCAGTTCATGCTCCACTTGACAACTCAAGGTCTTGGTTTAAGGCTGCTTTCCCTAGAGAAAGGTATACCTTTTTTTTTCATTTCACAAAAGTGTCACATGGACTGGTGGCAGCTTAGAGTAAGTAATTCTATAACAAGTTATAGAACTTGAGAGAGGAGACAGTCTGCTATGAGTAGGGGCCCAAGGAAAGCCTCCAAGAGGATTGTGTCCAGAACCATTTGGGACAAAGAGGCTAGTAGGTTTGGGCAGAGGTATGGCAGCCAGTATACCTCCCTCTGGAATAGGTGGGTATAGGGGGTGAGGACCAGATGATCCTTTTCCATTTACCTCCACTCTGGGCTGAATATTGGCAGAGAGAGCAGCAGGAATGCTCCTCACCAGGGTTCAGGACATGTACTAGGCCTCCAAAATCCCTACTCTCTCTGCATGGTGCTCAGGATAGCCTCATTCGCTGTTCTCAGCTTCCCTGTCATCCCACTTCTACTCTGGGATTCAGAGCCCTTGTCTAATCTGCTCATCTCTCTGACCCAAGAACATTTTGGCCTCTGATACGCCCACTCTTGGAACTGAATCTCCTCTTTATTATCTTTCTCTTTGACTCTCCCTGCCTCTCTGATTCCCAGCTCTGACTTCCATCTTCCTGTTTGGGATCTACACCTCCTTCCCTCTCTCAGGTACTGCTAATGAGTGTAGTGCTCTATAAGCTCTTCTGAAACTCCACAACCACTATCTCTCCCATTACTTCTCTTTGATTTACCATTCCCCCATATAACCCTCAGTGACACCTCCTAGTATCTCATTACCTTGCATCTGAACCCTTCCATGATGTCTAGCTCAAATTCTTGTTTACTCCTAACTCCTTGGTCCCTATTACCCCAATTAATGGATTGTTTATCCCCATACCATGGTCTCAGTGTTCCCCTCTTTAATAATCTCAGTGATTCTACTTCTGTCCATCTTCCTGACCTTCAAAGGACAAAACTTCTAAGAGCCCAGCTCTGTCCTTTCTGTAACCTTCCAGCAGGTTTTTTTTTTTTTAATCTCTGAAGCCCTATGACCATACAAGGATCTCATCTTTCTGAACCTGTGTGACCCCACTCCCATTCATCCATTATTTCTGACTTCTAGGTACCTCATCTTCAGACCCTCATTACAGATCCCTTTATGACTCCAATGGCTGATCTCTCTGAACCCTGGTTCCCAATGCCCCATTACTGATTTACTCAACTCCAGTAATCCATGACTCTGACCCTCAAAGACCTCTAATCATTATCTCAATAATTATATATCCATTTTCCCAATGACTCCTAGCAAACATCTGATCTCCCCCGACCTCTAGCTCTACCACTGAGCCTTCATGACCCTTAATTCTCTGATCTTAGTTCCTATGCCTCTGCCTTCCTTGTGCCCCCATGTTCCTTACTCCTCCTCTCTCTAGCCTGGTGACCTCATTTTGGCCCCTCACTAGCCCTGTTCTCCTCCAGGTTACCGCTGCTTCAAGGCAGTGCTCTTCCTCACTGGGTTGCTGTTTGGCTCAGTGGTCATCTTCCTCCTGTGCTACCGAGAGCGGGTTCTGGAGACACAGCTGAGTGCTGGGGCAAGTGCAGGCATTGCACTGAGCATTGGGCTGCTCTGTGGGCTGGTGGCCATGCTGGTACGCAGCGTAGGCCTCTTCCTGGTGGGGCTGCTGCTTGGGCTGCTGCTCGCTGCTGCTGCCCTGCTGGGCTCGGCACCCTATTACCAGCCTGGCTCTGTATGGGGCCCGCTGGGGCTGTTGCTGGGAGGCGGCCTGCTCTGCGCCCTGCTCACACTGCGCTGGCCCCGTCCACTCACCACCCTGGCCACTGCTGTGACGGGTGCTGCACTCATCGCCACTGCTGCAGACTATTTTGCCGAACTGCTACTGCTGGGACGCTATGTGGTGGAGCGACTGCGGGCCGCCCCTGTGCCTCCCCTCTGCTGGCGGAGCTGGGCCCTGCTGGCACTCTGGCCCCTGCTTAGCCTGATGGGCGTTCTGGTGCAGTGGAGGGTGACAGCCGAGAGGGACTCCCATACAGAAGGTGAGAGGGCATAGGCCAGGTTGGGCATGGGAAGAGGGGATGGACAAGGATGGATGGGGGAATAGAGGGATTAAGGAGAAGGGACAGAGGCTGTATACATCAAAAGCAGAAGGGCTTAATGGGTTAGAAAGTTGACCTGGTCAGGGTCTGGGAGAATAGGACTAAGTAACAGCATTCATTCCACAACAATGGCTCAAGGTCAAGCCCATTCCAGGCAGTGGATGATAGAGCAGGAAGAACCAGAAGAGGGGCAAGGGATGTAGCTCAGTGGTAAGGTGCTTGCCCAATGTGCATAAGGCTCTGAGTCTGGTGCTCAGCACCACAAACACAGACCAACAGAAAAGGTACACACCCTTATTTATGTGCATCCAGGGCAGGTGAGAAACAGATAATAGACCTGTAGACAAGCAAGATAATTCTAGTTGTGCAGAGTGGTATGGAGAGACACAGGGTAATATGAAAGAGTGACTTTATGGAGCCCGTTGCAGTTTGGAGCAGGTGCAATTCAGGAGATGGACTGATGGTGTGGACCCTCTGGGTTGAAATATTATTAGGACAGTGAAATTCCAGTGGACAGCTTAGAGTAGGGGAGGAAATAATGTAGGTTAGTGTTTGGGGATGTAAAAAGCATTAGAAGGAGGCAAGTAGAATGAGGAAGCAGCAGCTGTCTAGATGAAAGATGATGGTGACTGACCTGGAGTCACCCACAGGCTCAGGATTGGAACAGCAAGAGCTGGGGAGGGGGTATTACATGTAAAGACCTCTGCAAGAAAAGAAAAACTGCAGGAAGTCCCATTTTGGAGGTGGGAGATCAGAAAAGGAAGTGACAGGGTAGAAGTGGGGGGGTATGGACAAGGGAATATGGAAACCTAAAGCATCCTGGTGGGAGAGGTGGTGGGGAGGGGCTCAGGGGAGAAGAGGCATGTGGACCTGAGTGCCTTTTGTGTCCATCCCTCCACAGTGGTCATCAGCCGGCAGCGACGGCGTGTGCAGCTGATGAGGATCCGGCAGCAGGAAGAGCGCAAGGAGAAGCGACGGAAAAAGAGACCCCCTCGGGCTCCCCCGAGAGGTCCTCGGGCACCTCCAAGGCCTGGGCCCCCTGATCCTGCTTATCGACGCAGGCCAGTGCCCATCAAACGTTTCAATGGAGATGTCCTTTCCCCGGTGAGGCCCCTAAGCCCCTCCAGCTCCAGGCGGGGAGTGTGTAGATTGTCCAGGCATGACTGGGCCTTCTTAGGGATCAGTGGCCTTAAGGCCTGTGTTTGTCCATCCATCAGAACCTGTGTAGCTGGGCCCTGCTGGAAACAGCTCTGTAGGTAGGGAGAGGGTGTCCTGAATATCAATATTAAATGATAGGGTATGTGGTAGGTCTCAGTATGGGGAGGCCCTGGGTCTGTGAAGTCCAGGGGAGCATCAGACCTGGATGGTACAGAGAGAGGTAGGTCTGCAATAACACTGACTCTTGTGCTTACTTCCCCACAGAGCTATATCCAGAGCTTCCGGGATCGGCAGACTGGGAGCTCACTGAGCTCCTTTATGGCCTCACCTACAGACACAGACTATGAGTATGGGTCCAGGGGGCCACTGACAGCCTGCTCAGGCCCCCCTGTGAGGGTATAGCTGTGTTCCTGCTGTCTAGACTGTAGTCGCCAGCTCTGCCAGCATGAAGAGGCCTGCCAGGCCTGTGGCTTTTGGCTCTCTCTCTCCCCTCCTTGGAGAGGACAGGCCAGCCACCAGAAGGGAGGCTGTGTCTCAGGCTAGCTCTGAGGAGATGCTCCCATCTAAACTCTGGAGGGACTTGGGGTGTGAGCCCTACTGGGTTGTGCTCAGGGTTGTGTGTTGCCCATTTATATGTGTGTATGTGTGTGTGTGCGTGTGTGTGTGTGCATGTGTGTGTGTGTGTGTGTGTGTGTGTGTGTGTGCATGTGTGTGTGTGTGTGTGTGTGTGTGTGTGTGTGCATGTGTGTGTGTGTGTGTGTGTGTGTGTGTGAGGAGGTAGGCTTAGAGGGGAAACTGGGACCCTTGCCTTAGGTTTCTGACTGGCAGGGCTTCTTCAGGGCCAACCCCACCTACTGTCCCACTACTGGGGTCCCATGGGCCACTCTCCTGCATGTCTATGTGGAGGAGGCCTACCTGCCTCCCCTATTGCTCTGCCTTTCAGCCATTCATCTAAGGGTTTTTGTCTTTGTCCACGGGGTTAATGGCAGTACCCCTGACCCTAGTCCCTGGCCTCTGCAAAACCACCAGCCTGAGGGCAGTAACAGGGGATAGGGGTAGAGGGTGCTGCTCTGGGCTGGGTCGGGGAGGCGGGTGGAGGGAGAAGGGCTTCAATGCACGGTGCATGTCTGGTGTCTCTCATGCCACTCTAGACACCCCATGCTTCTGTCTCCCCCCACCCTATTTTACATCTTTTATAAATGTGCCAAATTATGTGGCCTCTGCTAGAAGTCTTCAGTGACTGGTACTTTCATGGGCCAAGCTGGAAGTACTGCAGCCTCAAAGCTCTTACTACAGGGGCTCCAAGCAAGGTCTGACCTCCCATGGCACACAGATAGGCAGGAACACGAACTATAGCATTTTTATTATTTCCCAACACCTCTGGCTCCTGCCTCCCCACCTGGCCCAGGGATAAGGGCACACGCCTTCCAAACTGTCCGAGGGTACCCGCTTGGCCTGGTTCAGTCCTCTAGTCACCTGTAGAGGAATGACTGCACATGGGGCTGGGGGGAGAGTAGGGCCGCCGTCCTCCCCCTGGCAGTGCTTGGATACCCACAGGGGAAGAGCTGGGTCCCCCCCCCTTTCAGAGTCTCTGTCAAGGCTCTCTGTGGGGCCAGGAAGGTGGGAACAGTTAGGGTGGAGCACACAGCAGAGTGTGTGAAAGGAATTCAAGATTTGGAGTAGAGTGGGACACCCCCATGTGAAAAAGGGAAAGAATGCAGGGAGCTCAGGAGCCCTGCCTAAGCTGCTGATGAATTTAGGTGAACAGAAACCAGCTGAACAGAGGGCAGGTGGGGTGAGAGACAGGTGCCAGCTAATAATGGTGGGTAGTGGGAAGAACAACCTGGTAGCAACGAGGTGTTCAGGGGACACAGAGGGAGTGAGAAGCCCTGACAGGAAGGGACCTAGGCAGGTAAGGACAGCTGACTCCAACCAAGTGGTTCCTGTTGAGACTCAGGGTTTCCTCCACTCTCCTTCAACCCCAGCTGTGATATATCCCACCCCTCCCCAACTTCCCACAGTCAACAGAACCTACTGCCAAGAGCATTTATTTCCCTGAGCCCTGGAAAACCTCCCACAGGTGTTTTAGCCCTGCAGCTTCCAGGTGGCCCCTCCTGCCTGATCAGCCTCCGGTCCTGTGACTTCTGCCCAGTGAGATTTACTCACCCTCTACCAGCAGCCTTGTGTCAGCACTGTCTTGGCCGGCCTGGCAGCTGTAGGTGCCCTGGTCCTCAGGTCGCACGTCATGGATGACTAGGCTGTGGGTGGCGCCGTGGCTGCGCATCTCATACTTGTCTCCAGGGCACAATTCGATCCCCTCCCGCATCCAAGACACGTGGTCCCCAGGGTGGGACACAGTCACCTCCAACACCGCCCTGCGGCCGGCCAGAACCGTCTTCTCGCGAGGGGGCCGGCGGCATATCTGGAGAGGCAACGCTGGGGTTGGGGAACAGGGGCTTAATAAAGGATACATACGGCCCCGGGTGGACAGATCCATCTTCCCTCCCAACAACCTCCACTCCTGGCATAAGCCCTTCATGCCACCAGTTCGTTCCCCTCTATGCCCAGTTCAAAGTCTCTTCCTCTCCATCTCCTCCTGAGGAAATGCGCTGCCCTCCGTGACCTGTCCAGGAAAGCCCCTCGAAGGGAGGAGTGATGAAGGAGGCAGCGTTTCTGAAACCGGTAGCCAATCCTTCAGTCCCAGGACACGAGATGATGACCTTCCCTGTCGCCCCCACCATAGTAGCTTACCCTCTACCTCCAACATAGCCGAAGACTGGGCGGGTCCCGCCTGGAAGCGGACTTCACCGGCGTCCTCTGCACGTAGCTCGCTCAACACCAGAATGTGTTTCTTTCCTGGGGGAAGCGGGAGCTAGAGAGGCCCAAGCCGCCTCCCGGAAGGGTTCCGACGCGGTTGGTGTGCGGAATTGGGAAGGAGAAGCGAAGAGGAGCGAGGATTCAGGGGCGGTGGAGGAAAAGTCCGGGAGACCTGGCTATTGGAGCTGTGGGGCGGGGCCTGTTCGAGCTGGAGGCGGAGCTTATCTTAATGGGGCGGGGTCTGTCTGAACCCTGGGCCAGGGAGTAAGGGGTCAGAGTGTAGAAAGGCGGCCAGACCTTCCTGTCGGATGCGGACGCGGCCTCCGGGTCTCAGCGGGCGGCCTCCGAGCTCCCAGCGCCCCGTGGTCTCCGTTTCCGACACGGTGCACTCGAATGTGGCGCCATCACCTTCGCGCGCGCTCACTGTCCGGAGCTCGCGGAGCACAGACACCATGCGTTCTGGGGAGAAGCCCTTAGAGTGAGGCGGGGCGGGGCGGGAACGGGACACGCCCCCTTCCTTGGACATGGGTGATCCACCCGGGAACATCCTCCCGCAGCCCGGTCGCCCAAAGCAGTGCCCAACCCCGGCATCTCCTGGTACCCACCGCGCACGGTCAGGCGCACAGGCCCGGCGCGGGTCGTTCCCACAGCGCAGCTGTAGGTCCCGGTGTCCGAGGAGCTGCAGCGCCGCAGCTGGAGAAAGCGGCGCGTGCCGAGAGCCTGGAGCCGGAGCCGCGGGCTGGGAGCGAGCGCGCACCCGTCCTAAAGCGGGGAGTAGCAGGTCTGGCGCAGGCCAGTGAGACGCTGGAGGCCGCGGCCCTGGAAGGCGGCCGTGTCCTCTGCGGATGCCAAGCTGTCTATAGGCGCACTAATGGGTGCCTAGTGTTCCTCTGCTAGGGATGAACCGTCCCACATCTTCCCGTTCTGGCCACCTCTTGGAAAAGGTGCCACCTTTTGTGGACTTTGGGGCCGAGAAGGGGCACCAAGGGCACAGGACGCCCAGAGCTCTTCATGGATCCCACCAAGTGTGGATTCCAGAATTAGGCAAACCTAGTTTCCAACATGGGCTTTACCCCTTTTGTCTGCCCTTGAGCAACTCAGTTCATCCCTTTGTTTCTCATAGATAACAAACGCAGTGATGACAAGGCCAACCTCCCAGAGTTGTAAGGATTAAAAAGGACTAATGTGGCATAGATCTTAGCCTAGTGCCAGACACACGGGCCCAGGGAGTGTTAGTTTCTTGCAGGCATTACTGTTATGGCAATAGGTTTGCACTAAAGCCACACTCTGACCTTCTCCCATGTAATGTCAGCCAAAGCCTGGGAAAGCTCGCACTCGAAAGTGGCTGTGTCACCTTCAGTCACCTCTTGGTCCTGGGGCCCTTGCACAATCGTCACTGGGACCTCTGAGAGTGGGAGAGGGAGGGCAGGGCCAAGGGAACAGGGGTAAAGGAGGCATAAGGACACACTTGGGGGTGGGTCCACACAGTGGGTCGGGGGTGGACACATGCAGGTAGTGGGCCCACTAGTGAGTAGGGGATATGCTGAACAGTGGGTGACAGCAAGGCCAGAGGGCCAGTGGGGTAGGAGTGGCCGGCTGGGAGTCATACCTTGAGGTAGTCAGTGGGGGACATGCTAGGTGCTAGCAAGGAATGGGAGAGGCTGAAGTAAACATGCTAGAGGGGTCACTCATAGGCAGGCATGGGCAGAGTAGGCCACATGGCTGAAGTGGACAGCTATAGACACTGGGCTTGGTGGACACAGTGGCTTGGCAGAGAAGTGGGGGTCCTAAGAGCTGGTATGGTCAGGGGGAGGGGAACTCATTGGAAATAGAAGCCAAAATGGGGGTTCTTATGCAGAGTTGCTAGGAGTCACCCTTCAGTGGCCAGTAAGTGAATTGGAAGGACTTTACTGGTCACAGGGGCACACTCAGGCAGGCAAAGGGGGCCACATAAGTCAGGGTAGTCACTAGGTCATAGTGGTCAGTAGGGCATGTCCAGACAAGAGGGACCACACAGGCATGAGACTATTCAAAGTAGCACTGGTTTGCAGGGCTACAAGCGACTGGATTGTCAGAACTGCCAGACTCAAGCAAGATGGTCACTGGGGCCACACAGGTACAAAGGTCCAGGAATTCCCCCACTCTGGCACGGAGGTCAGTAGGGGCAACATGAATGGTTAGATCACTGGTCACACAGAGGATCAGCAGGCAGAGGGCCCAAAGGCCACACCTCTCACAGAGAGCCTGGCAGCACAGCGCAGGGTATCCGCAGTGAAGGAGACGCAACCCGAGTCAGCCAGATCCAGGCTGCTGAGCACCAGGCAGTGGGTACGGCCCTCTGAGTGAATGTGGCACTTGGGCCCTGGATGCAGCTGGACTCCACCCTGGGCCCACTCTCCAGTCACACCCTCCTGGGACAGCTCCAGCTGGAAGGTGGCGCTGCCCCCTTCACTGACGGTCACATCCTCCAGAGGACGCAGTGCCCTCAGCTGCCGTGCTGGTGTAGGAAAATGGGGAGAGATGGGGAGAGAAGCCTGCTCCAGCTTTGGGCAGGGGTGCAAAGGTTCACTCACCCCTTACCCTATCTGTACCACCCCCAACACATAACCTAAGGCACTAACTACAGAAATTCAGTCTAGGTGGGCAGGAGAAGGGGAAAGATATAATTGACTAGATTTGGTGCAGGGAGAAGTGTACTGGGATTAGGAAAGAAAAACACATGGCATGGGGTTAGGATGTTCAGAAGTCTCCACATGGGGTGCTGACACCAGTAGAAACAGGAAATCTGGAGTCACAGCCACTGGGATTGGAGCCTAGCTCCATCGAACAGTTTGTGTATTGTGTGATCTTTGGCAAACTGCTCCAAGCTCTTCTGACCCTAGGTTTCCCTACTGCACAAGGTGAAGCGCATCGAGCCACAGGTTTATGGCACTGATCAAGCTAAAAGAGAATATATATCACCGATGATAGTCATTCACGAGGGTTTCATATCTCAACTGATACTCTCAACGTCTAGAGGTAGACATCAGCCCCATCTTTTAAGGAGACTTTGCTCAGAGAGATTAAGTAATTCATGTGAGATTACATGGCGAATAAGAGGGTTCCAGTATGGAGTAGTGGGTGAGAAGTGTTATTCGTCAGTCATCCCTGAGAAGGATAAACAACAGAATCTTTTTGGAATATAACATTTATGTTGCTAGCAAAGCCATCTTGGAAGTAGGGGGTGGAAAGCAAAGTCCACTTGGACTTCTGAGGTAACTAGAAAACATTTAAGAAAAAAGAAAGCTTTCACTTTGGCCAAGCAGCTTCAGGCTCCACTCCCAGACTGGGACGGCCAGGGCAGACTTTCCTTAGCAGCAAGGGGCACTTTGGTGGGGGTCTCAGGGGCTCTGGGCCAGCCAGGAGAGGCTCTGCAGTGGGCAGGTGATGTATTAGGAGAAGATGGGGCACTCACGCCTCACGCTGAGCCTGGCCAGGGTGCGATCATGGTGGCTCTCACAGCCGTAAGTGCCCTGGTCAGCCAGTAGGACACCATGGATGGAGAGGCGGTGGACGTGGCCATCCTGGACTGTGGTCAGGCGAGAGTCCAGGGGAAGAGGCTCCCCACCTCGCATCCAGCGAATGGCACCGGCTGCACCCACTCTCCCTGTCTCCACCTCAAGGTACACATCTTGGCCTTCCTCAACCCGCACATCCTGCAACCGCCGCAGGAACAGCAGCTCTGTCTCTAAAGGGGAAGAGAGGATGCCATGGAGCCCAGGTGCTAAAGGCCAGCCCTGCCTATCTCACTGCTAGAGCTGGGTTGTAAGAGGGTTTGTGAAGGGGTTATCAGGAACAGAGCATTTCATGTTCAGCAGCATCAAACCTCGAACGTGGAGCCTGGCATTTGTGGCTGTGGCTCCTGCCCGTGCAGTCACAATCCCTGTATCCTTGAGCTGGCAGCTTCTGATGATCAAAGTGCGGCTTGAGCCATTCTGGACCATTTCTATCTGGGGCCCTGGAGTGACAACAGCTCCACTGTGCAGCCAGGTGACTTCAGCATCTGGTGGCGAAACCTCACACCGGAATGTGGCATCATCACCCTCATGGACAGTCAGGGGTGTCAGCTCAGAGACTAGCTTCACTAGTGGGGGCTCTGGAGGGAGGGATGGAGGCAGTGAGCTAAGTTCATCTTTCCCCCTTTCTCCTCATCCCCTCCTCAGGACTCAGGCCCTCATTTTCCCACTTAACACAGCTTTAGTGAGGACCTATTGTGTGCTGGCCATGGGAGTGCCTCCAAAGATCAGGACACCATTTTCTGGCCACATACTTTTAGTCAGCTCCTTGAAATTCCAGCCTGGTGCCCCTTCCCCAAGTCCCTAGCACTAAAACATTATTTACTATGGTTCCTGTTACATTACAGGAGAGCAACCTATCTGCTATCCCATTTCAGAACTTGGGCTCAGAGATGTAAAACAGTTTGGCTGTCACACAACTCCCAGAGAACAGAGTCTGTGTTGGAACCTGAGCAAGTCAACCCCAGAGTTCCCGCTCTTATCCACTGGGCCATACATCCTGTCATGTTACATTCCTGGAAAAGGGAGTTTGTGCTCTTGAAGTAGTGATCATGCACGTGTTGATGGAAGCCATAGGCAGCAGTGAGTGGGATGCAGGGTATGAGACAGGCTCAAAAGAATAGGAAATGGTCTTTGGGGGGTTCCAGGGCCCAATGGGTGTGAGGGGTGCACTGTTACCTTCCACACTGACGATGAAGATACGACTGTCCTGGGGTGCATCGCATAGGTATTCCCCAGCGTCCCTGCTCCGTGCCCCGCGCACCCGCAGCACCTGCCTGGCCCCGGCTTGCTCCAGCTGCACCCGCCCCTGGCTCGCCAGGCGCTCCCCATCCTTGTACCAGCGCACAGGGCCCCCCGGTCCGGAGAGGTGCACCACCAGCTCTAGGTCCCCACCTGGGGTGCTTCGAACCCTCGTCTGGGCTGCCTCGGGGGCCACTACCCGCACCAGGGCCTCTGTGGGGTCAGAGCCAGGGGTCACTAGGAGGGCAGTAGGAGGTAAGATGGGGAAAGGTGCTGGGAGGTAGGGCAAGGGATGGGCATGATGTCTTTACAAAGTGGGGAAGCCATGAGTTTGGGGTTCTTCTTGGGCTTTCTGCCTACATTGTACTCACCAGCCACCTGGACGCTGAAGCTGAGGCTTGGGGCCCCAGAGACTGCCCCTGAGTGGCAGGTGTAGACACCTGCATGTGCTGGGTCTGCAGCCCGGATGCAGAGAATTCGGCGGGGACCCTCAGCTTGCAGCTCTAACCCCTCATCCTGCTGCACAGGACTCCCATTGTGGCTCCAGAACACAGGTGCACTTGCCCGAGACAGCTCACAGCTCAGTACCACCAGTTCTCCAGGGGCCACACAGATTGGGCTTGGGGCTGCCTCTGGGACGAGGAACTGCACTGGCAGCTCTGCATAAGGAAAAGAGAGTATGAGCTTATGTCATCCTTTGCTTCCCCATCCCAGGATGACCCAGCATGGCCCAGCACACCCACCAGCCAGGCTGACGTTGAAGGTGACAGCTTCATCTCGGGTCTCACACACATACTCCCCAGCATCCTCAGGCTGGGCGTGGGGCAGGATGAGAGTACGAGCAGGCCCCTCTGCACCCAGCTGCAGTGTATCTGAAGCCTCTACCTCTAGCCCATCCTTATACCAGCGCACCTGGGACCCAGCTGGGGACACCTCGCATTGCAGCTCCACAGGCCCTAGAGCCCCAAACTGCAGATCCAAGGCTCGGGCTACTGGATGTACAATCCTCTCTGGTGGAGCTGATGGGTGGGCAGAAAGGAAAGCACATGCATTTGGCTCAAGGCCTTTCCATTGCTCTTCACAGATGAGGACCTGAGGGCTCCTCAAAGGAAAGGGATTTTCCCAAGGTCACACAGAAGAGGCATATCAGGCTCAACAGCCAGATCTATCAATTCACCCTTCCCTAGGTCCACCCATTTTCCTCCCCTTCCATGCTTTGCCTCTGACATGCTTACCTATCATTTTCTGACAAATCATTTATTTTTCTTAGTTTTTGCCTGTCTACTCTCCCTAGAATGTTGAGCTCCATGAACAAAGTAACTTATCTCATTGATTCACATTTGTACCCTAGCATCTAGGTAGTGCCAAGCATATACTAATTGCTCTGTAAGTATTTGCCCAATGAATGAATAGTTGGTCCTAATTACTGGGCTCCCTCTCACCAGGCTTATGGTCACCATCTTAGCTTGATTTAGGCTCTCTGATGGCTAAGAATGAGGAAGCTGGAGAGCAAGACCATGCGGGGGGGCGGGGGGGTAGTGAGCACTAAGATAGAAGTAGAGACAGTTGGGTGTCTGTTCCACAGCCTCATCTCTCTACCTTCCTAGGGGTGCCCCAAAGAACACCCACCTGTGACAGTGACAGTGAAGAAGGCTGAGTCATCTCCAGCATCACACACAAACTCGCCCCCATCCTCAGGCTGGGCAGCAGGTAATACCAGGCGGCGACAGGACCCATTACTCTCCAGCACCAAGGCCTCACTTTCCTCTACCTCCAGTCCATCCTTGTACCAGCGCACCGGGGCATCCTCTCGAGACAGCTCACACATCAGTACCACACACTCCAAACTCACAGCGATCAAGGTCACCTCATCCCGGGGGTATATGATCCTCACTGGCGGCTCTGTAGAGTAGGGGCAAATAAACTGTGAGGATCTCACCTCATCCTCCCTGGCATGATCTGGTAGCACACAGGCTCTGTGGCTCATGTGCTATCACGTCCAGCTTCACATTAACATTTTTACTGTGTATTCATCTCTTTGCCTTCAGCAAGAGATCCCACAAAGATATAGTATACTAACCCTACTGGAATTAAACAGTAATTAAGTACACAGCAGTTAAACAACTTTTTCTGAAATGGCTTAACAAGCCTTTTGATTCTAAATGTTTTTTTTTTTTTTAATTTCAAAATTGTGGACAAGGGATGGTGGATCTGAAAGAGAAAATATTTCTGTAACATTTCCTAAGGTTCTAGGAACAGTGAGCCCTAAGCATGTTTCACTTTAGCCCTCACAGTTATCATAGGCAGTAAGTACAATGTTGTCTCTATTTTCCAGATCAGAGTACTAAGGCAGAGTGATAAAGCAATGAATGCCCTTATAAAGTCACAGCTGGCTCTGGTTCCTCTAGGGCAGGAGGAAGCAAGCACCATATCTTCTGCAGGCAGTTGGTAGAGTGGAAGCCCAGCTTTGCAGGAACTGTGGAATGCTCTCTGCACCTATACATAAGAGTTGTCAAGTCTTGGCTGGTGTGGTGGTGCATGCCTTTAATCCCAGCACTTGGGAGGCAGAGGCAGGCAGATCTCTATGAGTCTGAGGCCAGCCTGGTCTACATAGTGATTTCTAGGCCAGTTGGGGCTATGGGGAGACCTTGTCTCAAAAAGATTAAAAAAAAAAAAAAAAAAAAAAAAAAGAAAAAGAACTGCCAACGCCTGTCTGAGAATTCCCCAAGGATGCCACAGGCTGCTTTACTGCTTCAGGAAGCTCCTCTCCAAATGCTGGCCACTCCTCCACAGAAGAAGAGCCAAGTCAGTATCAGATGTCAGTGCACCAAGCCCAAGCTTGCCCACAGTCCCCTACCCTCTTGTTCTCTTGGGTATCTTCAAGTTTCCAACTGACTTGGGCGTGCCGGGCCCCCTTGTGGCCCAGCTGAGAAACTGCTAGCTTTCCTGACTAGGATTTTTCAGGACCTATGGCATACCCACAGCACACCTCAGCCTTGAGCTCATACAGTCCACCTCTCCCAGTTCTGGTAAAGCCAGAAGATTACAAAGGGTGGCTTCCTGAATTTTGAGAGAGGTTGGAGCAGTGGGTTGAAGAAAGGTGACAACAGAATCTATTGCCATGGGGCTAGATGTACTCTGGCCTAGAGCTGAGGTAGTGTCTATGTGAATTCCCTATGAAGCCCTAGTGTTTTGTGGCTCTGGCTCTGGCTGTTATGTCTGGCTAGGGCTGGGGACAGGGGGATGAAGGTGGCTGACCATAAGACAGAATATGTGCACAGGCCTTGTTGCTAATGTGGACCCTACTATCTAGGATACAGGGAGTGGGGGGTCCCTGTGCAGTTTAGCCTGGGCATGATTCCCAGGGCAGGTCAGGGAAGGGCACAACAGAACTGTGCCAGCAATAAGATGGTTGCTCTAGTGCTGCCTGGAACTGCCTTAATACCCCCTTGCACTCTGGGACTGGCACTAAGCTGTAGCCCAGCATGAAACACCATCACATGACCATAGTCATCCTGTACTTTCCCTGCCTACTCCCCATTCCACCTAGCTTCAGTGCCAGCAGGTAAGCTTCTTCCTGTACCTGACCAGGATAGCAGCCCCCAGCCTAGGATTCCTATGCTGGTCCTTCAGAGCCCACACCTCAACATGTCTGGCTTTCCTATCTGTATGCTGCTGAATATCTGGAACCCAGCCCAAATAAGGCCACCCTGGATGACTGTTCCCCAGGTCCTCCCTGTCTCTCTGCTCTTCAGAGCCCTCAGTCCTAACAGCACTTATCACAAGGTGTCATGGAGTGTTTATTGGTGTGTTTATTGGTTTAACACAGGGGTTGAAAACTGCAGAGGCCAGAAAGGTTAAGTTAATGGCTAAAGTAGTCTGGGGAGAGGTAGAAGGAAGGAGGGTGGGACAGAGGAATGGGGACCCCGTATTATGGGGCAGCTGCTACTCAGTGCCAGCCGATCGTCGCCATGGGGGGAAGCGGGACCAGAGCCGGCGGGTCTTCGGCTTTTTCAAGAGGACGAATAACTCCGGGTTGTTATTTGGACTGTCCTGACTTTGGTAAGACTCTGCAGGCCAAACAAAACACATCCGTGGGCTGCATAGGGACCAAGGGTTTGCCTGTTGGTGACCCCTGATTAACAGCTACTTCCCCAGCTAGACAGGCAGCCCCCTAGGAACAGGGACCAAGCCTACATTACACATCAGCAGCTCAGTCAGTCAACTGGGGGAGCACAGCTAGATCTGACCTTGACACTGGGGAAGAGCCTGTTCATTCCAACTGGTGCTCTAGGCTTCCAGCAGGAATACTGATGCATGCACCCTCAATCCACACTTCTCTCCCTGACCCCAAAGCTCAGGGGTGTCCTCTGCTGACTCTGGGGGCTGGGATGGACCCACACCTGTGACAGTGACAGTGAAAGAAGCTGATTCATCATCGATTTCACACAAGTACTCGCCGGAGTCTTCAAGCTGGATGGAGGGCAGCACCAGGCGGCGGATGGTGTCTTCTTTCTGCAGGAGCAATGCTGGGCTTTCTACTACCTCTTCCCCATCTTTGGTCCAGCGCACTTCTGCCCAGGGACGGCACAGCTCACAGGTCAGCACAACACGCTCTAGGCGTACAGCCGCCACGTATACTTTGCCACTGGGGTACACGATCCATGAAGAGACATCTGGGGGACAAAGACAGCTACTGCTGGGCAGGAGTGGGTGGGGCTGGTGTGCCCTGCTACTCTCCCTAATCCAGGCCCATTTCCTATGCCTTGAAAGTCAGTCACATGCTTGAGAGGGACCTCCCTGATGCAGTTGCTCACAGCTAGTGTCACATAGTCCTCTGAATACAACAATCATGAGCAGAGAGATGTGACCACAGCTTCCAAAGCACATCAGGCCTGGTGCTGGGCAGGACCTGGCTACACAATGGGGACTGTGGTGTCAATCTCAGCTGAAGAAACAGTTCACATTCTCTGGAATGGCACAAAGAGAATGTGAAAAGTGAAATGTGGTGGAATGAGGATTGGATCCCCAGGTGGAACTGGGGTACCCCACAGGCTCGAGATTATTTTGACCCTTCCCATGCCTGACACTACCTGCCTAGCAGTAGGACTGCTGTCCTCAAAGAACCCCCTTGGCAGGGAACTCCTGGAAGATGAAGAAAGCAGGGGTTCCCTGGTGATGCGAATGTAGCAGGATCAGACAATGCAGGGAGGGCAGCAGGGGCTACAGGCATGACTTGTGGGAGACTATGTACCAGCTACTCTAACTGCTCCCCCACACCTGTGATGGTGACAGTGAAGTGGGCACGTTCATCTCCTGCGACACACTGAAACTCGCCCCCATCGGGGGGCTGGGCAGCAGGCAGCACCAGGCGATGATGAGCTCCTTCGTTCTCCAGTACCATGAAGTCGCTCTCTTCTACCTCCTGCCCATCCTTGTACCATTGCACAGGGGCATCTTCTCGGTCCACCTCACAGGTGAGCATGACACACTCGGAGGTGATGGCATGTACAAACACATGCTCCTGGGGGTCCACGATATGCACTGGGGGATCTGGATGGAGAATAGAGATGGACTCAAGGAGTCCTCAAAGACGTGGTGCTATATAGGAAGCTTGGGGCCAAAGACATGAGATCTTGCTGGTATGGCAGTTTGGGAATGAAGGAGGATTATATGGCACCAGAGTGCTCCATATTATCCCTAGAGGTAGCTAAGTGGGGAAACAGAGGGTGGGAGGCACACAAGCACACAGAAGTCATACAGTGACAGCCACTATTCACATAGACAGGAGAGAGGTCACCACCGCAAGGCACCTGGCTGAGTTTGCTGCTTCCTTTATAAGGAAGCCCTAAGAGGGACAGAAGTGGAAGATGACTTGATCAGCATCAAGCAGCTGCTCCGTATGGACACTGTATGCTTTGAATACAGGCAGTGTCTCCAAGGTCCAGGTGGTAAAGGTGTGGCGGTGCAACTGGTGTTATCAAGATGAGGTTCTAGTGGGAAATCCTTAGGTCACTAGGGTATACCTTGCAAGGGGATGGTGGGATCCCAACTTCTTCCTCTTTTTTTATTTCCTGGCCATGAAGATAAGCAGTTTGTTCTGCTTCATACAACCCTGCCTTTAGCACACAGCACCCCACCAGGGGCTCAAAACAATGATCTACTCAATTTTAGGCTGGAATTCAGTATTGGTGAATTGACTCAGGTATTCTGGTAAGAGACAGAAAGCTGACTAATGCAAGTAATAAGTTTCCTGCCACAGGGCATATTTCAGGCTGGGGTCACAGATCTCCTGGCAAAGGAGCTGAACCAGGATTTCAAAGGGAGATAGTAGGGTCAGCAGCCCTCATGCTGGCCTCACTAATGGTCTCTCTGGTTTCCTTCCCTTCCTTTTTTTGAGTGTCTCACATTGCTGACATTGGCTTTAAATTTGCACACATCACACACTATCAGTCTTCTCAAAAGGGGACCACCAGGTCAGTCCTTGATGTTTTGGCTCTGAATAGCCCAGGAGTCCTGGGGACATGTATTTTTAAGAAGCTTCCAGGGTGCCCCTGCCTTATGTGAACCACTGGACTGATTACTTAATACTTCTGATTGGTCTGATGACTTTGTACAGTTGGAGAAAACCAGGCCTGGGTGTGAACCCAAGTTACCATCTTTGCTGGCAATAACAGAGAAGTCACACTAACCCTTTGAACCTCTATTTCTTTATCTGTGGGCTACAGATATATTGTACCTCATCTAGTTGTGAAGATTAAACAAAACAGTGTAGGTAAGCTGGGCATGGTGGCATACACCTCAAGTTAGCCTAGTCTTCATAATGAGTTCTAGGCCAGTGGGGCTACAGAGAGCCCTTGTTACAAAAAAAAAAAAAAAAAAAAAAAAAAAAAAAAAAAA